GATAGAGGTGTAAAGTACGATGTCCATTGGAATGAAAGAGATCAGTTGGTTGAGCCTAATGGTGCGCTGCTGACAAGTTATATTGGAGCAGTTGTACGTTCGCAAGTTCCGATTACTTGCGATAACTGGAGAATTCCTGCATTAAAAGCGGCTAAGGATAAAATTTGGACCGAGATTCAAGTATGAGATTTGATCATTTTTAATTATGTTGACAGTTACATCTTTAAATTAATTATATTAACATGTTATATGTATGTGTATTTGTTTGCAGAGATCTTTTAATATTGAGGATTCTAGGAGAAAATATTGTATTCAGTTGGCCGGAAAACGCTTGAGGGGATTTAGAGCGTTTTTAACCAACAAATATCTTAAAGATTCTGATGGCAACTTTGTAGAGTCGGAGCATCCAGCGAAGTACGCTGATTTGATTTCGGATGCAGAATGGGAGACATTTGTTGCGAAGCGAAGAACCAAAGAACTTGAAGTAAGTACAACTTATCATGTACAATGTATAGTATATATACCTATTCCACAAACAAACTGATATGACTTAAACTTGTTTTTTCAGGTTAAGAGTGGCGTAAATCGGGAACGGGCATCAAACCCTGCGTATCCATATAGAAAGGGGCGTTTGAGATATGCACGCTTAGAACAAAAATTAGTAAGTGCATATATATGCTTTAATATGATCTATTTACAAAAAATAGTAAGTATACATAATAGGATATAATGGTTTATTGTTCGTCTTAATGCGTAGTTGGAAGAGGAGAAAAGTGATGCGACATCTCTTCCGGACCATGTCGTATGGAAGGCTGCCCGGGTGGGAAGAGATGGAGCCGTCCAAGAAGAAGTTCAACAAGTGTTTGAACAATGTGTAAGTACAACATTAGTTTTTGAACAAAGTGTTTGAACAAAGTGTATAAAATATTTAAATATGCTTTTATCTATATTTCAGGAGTCCCTATCCCAGACTATAACTCCTGCTGAAGACGATGATTGCAGGAGTTTATTGAGTCAGGTGTTGAATATTCCTGAGTACTCTGGGCGTGTGAGGGGCGAGGGATTTGGTGTCACTCCATCCAAACTGTATAAGCAGCCAAGGAAAAAAAATCCAACCAATAAAGAAGTGATGGCTACTTTGGAGGAAATGAAAGCTCAAATTCGTGAATTACAGAAGGATAAGGAGAGATACATGTCCGAAAGGCGCGCTCCAGAGGCCGGTAAAGCTACTAGTGACAAAGATAGTATCGGTTGTCCGCAGAAGCTTCCAGAGGTAATTGTATATATTACATTGAAATTAATTTAGCACATTTTTCTTAATTGACACATTAACTGATCATTATTTGTTTAGGGCATTTCACCTTGTCGACTATATTTATCGTCGCCGACTTATCGCATGGTTGGCAAGGGAAAGGTGCATAACACCCTGGGAGACTTACTTCACCATAAACCCCTCCCTGCTGGATTTTTGAAAGTATCTGTTGATATTGCATTAGAGGGGGGGCGTTGTTGCCTATGCGAGATGATGTATCAGACGCAACAGTGGTGGGAGACGCGATAGGAGCTTATGTAGCATGGCCGGCGAATCTCATTTTCATGGATGATGAGGTAGGTTGAACCTTGTAATATTCCAATGTTTTATTACCCATACATGAAAGTTATTCTGACATTTACACTTTCTTATTGACATGATGATCTTAGACTCCCACAAAATCCAAAACAAAAGATGATAAAATTATTGTGCGGGATACCGATTCAGCTGCATCAAAGTTACAGGTACTAGTACTACAGTTTAAGTGATTATTTTATTATAAATTATTTACTGAACTTATATATGACTTTTAGGTTCTTGATCAGCAGTCGCAACAAGTCAGCAAGGGAAACATGCCTGAAACTTCCAAGGTGCCCAAAAAAAAGGTCGAGACAAAAAGAGCATTTGTTCCTCAATTTAGATCGTGCCTTCAAACATATGTAGGGACAACAGACGTGCCTGAGGGCGGCATCCGTCTAATACATATGGATCAAGGTATTTTCGGTTTTGAATATTCCGAAACACTTGCTAAGGAGGATTTCGACCAGGTTTTCAAACATTTAGAATTGGGCGTCGGGGTTATGCATTCCTACATCAGGTACTTCGATCCATTTTAATTAGATAATTGAACATTTTAAAATTCGCTCGTTTAACTGAATAATCTAATGTTGATTATATTTTTTTTAGGCGCTTGTATGACAAGTTGTTGGTCCCCGCTGATTTGACTTCAGTATTCGCATTCTTATCTGCTAGCAGTGTCAACTCACGGACAATAGACCAGACACCAGAAGCAGTCAAAGAGTACACAGTCCAGAGATTTATGGGTGCGAATATGGAGAAGTTGTTTATGTTGCCATATAATACTGGCCATGGGTTAGTTTTTATTCTAAATTCATTTATTATAATTGTTCGATTTTTGCCATATTATATAACATTTCCGTCTAAACTGTTGTCTTATTTTATAGTGGTCACTGGTTGTTGGTCGCAATTAATCCGATTAAAGAAATAGTGTATTATATAGATTCATTGGATGGCGATACAAACAAATATGAAAATCTGAAGAACATGGTTGATACGTAAGTGATGATATATAGTGTTCTGAATAATTATATATGTTTATTTATTATGTGACATTGTTCTAAATATGTGTTTTATTATGTTAGAGTTATACAAATATACAGAGCACAGAGAGATGCAACAGTGCCAAAAAGCAGGGCTAGCAACATCAACTGGATCAGAGTGGAGGTATATTTTCCCATGTTTGACTGTTATAGTGGTTCTACTTATAAAACTATTTAAACTATATATCCTGATAAATGTTCGTTCGCTTTTTTCCTAATACAGTGTCCTCGTCAGCGTGGTGGGATTGACTGCGGATATTTTGTACTGCGCTTTATGAAGGAAATCATTCTTTCTGGTCAATTAGAGATTCCAATCATGGTATGGATCAATTCATGAGTTATATGATTCATTTTGATAATTAACTAATATTTCACCTGAGTAATTAGTATTAAATCGTGCTTGTTCTGTTATATTATGTAGTATTTTGATGAATTCAAATGCGCTACGTACTCGAAAGTAAAATTGGAAGAAATTAAGGAAGAATGATGTCAATTTATGATTGAGTTAAGAATTCTATAATGTATATTGGATTTGTAATTATGTGTAAATTGTATATTGTATATTGTATATTGTATAATGTACAATGTTTAAATTATGTGTAAATTATACTTGAGTTAATTATGTGTAAATTGCAAAGTGTTATTGTATAATGTACAATGTTTAGTTATATTGTGTTGAATTAAAGGCCAAGTGTTGAATTACAATGTTTAAAGGCTAAGTTATATTTAAGGCCTGAATTATAAGTAGGGAATTTAATTGTTATAAGCAGGTTTGTCTAAAAATATATAAAAAATGTGATTTTTCAAAAAAAAAAAATTTTAAAAACGTGAAGTATAGACAGCACTTTTACAAGAAAGCGCTGCTAAAGGGAGAAAAATAGGCATAAAAAAGCGCTGCTATAGGTTAGGAAAGGAGGGGTCTAAGAAAGCGCTTTAAAAAAGCGCTGCTAAAGGGTGGTCTACAAAAGCGCTTTCATAAAGCGCTGCTACAGGGGGGAGGGGGAGGGGAGAATAGGCAGCGCTTTGAAAGCGCTGCTAAAGGGGTAAAAAAGCGCTGCTAAAAGTGATACCTTTAGCAGCGCTTTTTCCATAAAAAAAGCGCTGCCTTTACCTTTAGCAGCGCCACTTTAGGCAGCGCTTTAAAGCGCTGCTAAAGGTAAAAAAAAGCGCTGCTAAAGGCCATTTTTGGCATAGTGTCTCATATTGCAGCCACCAAGAGGATACTAAGGTACCTCAAAGGAACACTAGATTGTGGCTTTTCATTTTCTGCAGTAGGTGGAGGAATGAAATCTAAACTCGTGGGATACACTGACTTATGTTGGTGTGGTGATGTTGAGGATAGAAAATCCACAATTGTTTATGTGTTTATGCTAGGTGGTGGACCAATTACCTGGACCTCAAAAAAAGAATCAGTTGTAGCTTTGTTATCATGTGATGCTGAGTATATAGTTGTCTCTCTTTGTGCATGTCAAGCACTATAAATGGTGAATCTGATTGAGGAGATTGCAGATAAGAATCATGGAACAATGATGATGAAGATTGATAACATGTCTCATATCAATTTGACCAAGAACCCGATAACACCTGGAAGAAGCAAACACATTGAGATGAGATTCTATCATCTTAGAGAAAAAGTAACAAATGGGAAATTGAAATTAGAACACTGCAGAACTGAGAATCAGTTTGCAGACATCATGACAAAGACTATGCAAGTGAAATTTTTCAAAAGATTGAGAACCATGATGAATATAGATAGCTTAGACATAATGAATTAGGTGGTGCGTTAAATATTTAATTCTTTGTGTTAAGCATGTTTGTAGATGTAGGATTCTACAGTCGAAGCTGCTTGTATTCGATAGAGTCGAATACAACTTGTAGTAGTCGAAACTGCATGCATTCGACAGAGTTGAAACCAACTTATCCAAGTTAGTTAGTTTGATATTACTTGATGTGCATGTAATCTCATTATAAATAGGAAGAAACCTTGTATTTAAAAGATAATTTGAGATCAATACATTCTTCCTTTTCTCTTTCAAAACTTATACTCAATACTATCTTCTCTCATAACTTCAAAATTCTCTCTTTTTAAATCATTTTGCGAGAGAATCATCTTGCAATCAATAGTGTGGTTGAATCACTCGAGTGAAGAGTGTAGAACAAGAATCGTAGATCAATCAAGAGAAAATTGAATCTTGTTCCATGAAAATTAATTCTAACACGTGTAATCCATAACAGAAAGGAATATAAACTTTCTAATGATTTATTGCAACAATTGTTGAAGTTTTGCCAGAGTCAAAAGAAGAAAACAAAACACAACTACATGCAGAAATTAAAGTTAGAACTAATGATTATAAGGATTTCTGATATGCACAATTCAAGTTAGGTCCAGTGTCAACATTAAACAACTTAGAATATCTTTGAAAAAACCCAATTCGATCATTGACTCTTGCATCACCAGGAATTCCACACTCCAATCCACCATTGATTATGTTTGTGACCAAACCATAACCCGCTGTTCTATTAGCAGCTATGTCAGCTTCTGTTGCTACATATTTTCCAACCATCACATTGTGGCATGAAGGTGTTGGTTTTCTCTCTGTCATCCAAAACCATAGAGCAGTTTTGAAAGCAATCACTGAATTGTTTGATACAATTTCTGGATTTTTCAGCCCATCGAATCCCAATGCCTTCCCAGCAGGTCCATAGTTGAAATTCCTACACAAAATTTTATCACAGTTAATTCAATAACTCAATTAATCACTACTTCAGATAATCTGCATTCTCGTTGAGAGGTAAGTAAAGTCTGACCAATAATGGTTTTAGATAGTGTTCGAACTCGAAATATTCTAAAGATTTGTAGTAACTTATTCCTCAAGTAACAAACTAATAATAATCTATTCCAAAATTAAATTTAGAATTTGCAAGTATTTAGTGTGTACCAAGAAAGTTGTATAGGACCTCTTCCTTTATAGCTTTTGCCTTCAAAACAAGGCCAATCTTTATCAGTAGAATCACAGTAAATACTTTGAGGACTAATTTCTTCTTTGAAGCATAATCCCCAAGAGAATGGGCCATCAGGTGCAGTGGACCATCCACCAGTAGTTTCATGAGAAATCTGAGCAAGAAAAGCTGCTATCTCGCGTTTTCTTGTGGCTAAACATCCTGTAGTACCGAATTCGGGAAAAGATTTGGAGGCTTCAATGAAGGATTGGTAAGGGTAGAAGTTTTTTGCAGGACATGCAGTGTCATCTTTGTGAAGGAAAATTGAATCAAAAAGGCTTTTACTTATTAGAGATGAGATTGGTATAATTGGAGAGTACCATGATTCAACTCTCAGAAAGAGTGTAGAAGAAAATAATAAGAGAGAGAGATAGGAAAATGACATTTTTTCTATGAAAAATCAGTTGGTGTTTGTTAAGGAAATTGAGATAAACTACAAGGGTTATATAGAGAGGATGATAGAAAGTGGTAGTAATTTTGTGATTTGATTCCATGGATTTTATTTTAGTGCTTGTTGTGATATTGTAACAAAATTGATTGAAGCATTTCTTTAGTAGGGTTGAAATTATGTTATTTTTTTGTTTTTGGATTTGGATATGACAGCGAAAACATCCGCTATAAAATGTTTTTGCGGATATTATTATTCACTGATATTCATCGATTAATGCAGATAACAATTAATGTAGGGAAAAAATCATAGATAAAAATCCGTTATGCTCATGAAAAAACGTTGTTACAGCTGCAAAATGACAACAAAATTTTGAACTAATTTTTGTTTAATAATAAAAATATAATCAATTAGTATTATATAATCTTGTGATTAATTTACACTGTGATGACCTGTGTTAAAACACATCTATACCATCACATATCCCAAAAGTGTTTTTGTAAAAGTTTGTTTTGTTGGAGGAAAAATTGACTTGCCATCAACCCACCCTTGTTTGTGGGGTTGACTTATGAGTCCTCACCACTTTGATTTGCATATATACTAATGTCTAGTTTTTTGTCTTATATTTTTAAGATTAGATATAGAAAGATTAAGGTGTTGTCTAGTGGTGGGGTGTCCACTTACTCTCACATGTCACATGGTACATGAATTTTGATATTAGTATCCGCCTGCAGGGTTTTTGGCCATGAGTGCTATCAATTCAATGACAAAAACTAAAGACCATACAAAATTCATAATTAACACTCCACTCATTATGTGTGTGTTTAAACAATTAATTGTTCATTCTCTATGTTTTTATCACTAACTAATTAGTAGTTCTTATAATATTTTATTTTAGATAAAACACACAAGAGAAGACAACTTTATTGTCTAAGTGTGATGCTCGCATTAGTAAGAATACAAATAGAAAAGATTGAAAGTGGGTACAAACATTTCACTAGTTGAATTAGTCATTGAATGAGGCACCATATATACTTTACTAGCAAATTTACATGAGTGGTACAAACATTTCTCTAATGGGTGTTTATATTTTAAAACGAGTGCATAAAATTATATTTACTTGATGCATATCAATAGTAAGTTTAATAAGTTGGACATCATGCATTGAGGTACACTAAGCAAAAGGAGATTTTGTCATGCTACTTCTTATTTATATTTTGTTGGATAAGTGGTTTCAAACATAAAAGGAGGAAATTGTGGTATTTAAGATTTGTGATTTTTTATTTATTAAGATCGTATTAAGAATTTTGATTGAGTGAATTGAATCAAAAATAAAAAGAAATTGTAAAAATTAAAAGGATAGATCGGGTTGTATATTTATACAGGTTTGACCGATTAATGTAGGTTTAATTCTGCTCTCAAGAGGTCTTTTTGAGAGTTTGACTATAAACTTTGAGTTTTTGAAAGTTATGCCTACGAACCTTAATACAATTTGATCTTAAGATTTTTTACAGATCTATACCCAACTAATGACAGTTTTTACCACATGTCAAGGTAACGAACCGATCATATTTATGCCTTATATCAATAACCAAAATAAAGTTTTTTCTGACAAAGCTTAACAATCCAGCCACATAGATTTCATGACAAGTTTATCTCGCAATTGGTTGAGATTTCGACATTCATTGACATTTGAAATAAGTCACAAAATTCAAAGATATATTCTAAAAAAGAAATATGATGATTTCGACAGTGACCAGTAAGAACATCTCGACGAGAGTATTTGGGAGCCTAGTCGAAGAGATCTATGTATGGAGGACGTTATGATCTAGAACTTAGAAATATATTTGGCCTAGATTGGAGTTCGACGATGTTCACTTGAAGAAGCAGTTTGACAGGTGCTTTTCAAGTAAGGCTGATAACTACCTTTTGGCTTTATCTGTTTACAAAACACGTGGAAAGCTTTAGAGCGACGCAACACATGTAGACTGGAGACGTGGCGTTTTTTGGCGAAAAGGCCGTTAGATGACGATTATTTTCAATTTAGTATAAATATAACACTTAGCATTTAGAATAGGGGTGTTCAACAATTGTACAAAAATTCTAAACTTTACTCTCAGTACCTGCGTGTGAGAAAAGAGTGCTCTTGAGAGAAAATGTACGTTTGAATCCATACCTTGTAATCAAATTCATTTAAATTCCATTCATTTACATTTACTTGCAATTTATTTAAAGTTAGTTTCGACATTTAGTACTTGTCATTTATCTTCAAATAATTTACCTTTTGCAATCTACATTTTTGTACTTAAAAGAAATCACAACATTCCAATAACGACTTTGAAACATATTTGAAAAACATTGTCCAAATGTTCATAATCTATAAACCCAGAAACTGAATAAGAACATAAGTCCTAGGATATCTTGTAAGTGACCAAAGATTTAATAACTTTTGAGGACTATCGGTTGTTTACCATTTTTTACGGTAAATAAATTGGCACGCCAAGTGGAACTGGTGTTGTTAGTTAGGATTTGTAAAAATATTTAGAAAATTCTTCATTTTTGGTTTTCTTTAGTCTCCGTTGTATGAAATTAAGAAGTGTTAAAGTAATCACTAATAACGAAGTGATATCAAGAAGGAGACGTGTATGTGTAACAATGGTGAATCCGCCGAGTACTAATGAACCACCCCTTCCTTCGACGGGGGAAACTACGGCCACAACGGCTGTGTCCGAAATGGTTCCATCTATAGCAAGTACGACGGCAGTACCGTCGAATGCTTATAGTGGACCTATATTGTCCCCTGTGAGGACCCAAGGGCAGCCATTGACCCCTCCTCCACTGGGAAATAGTTCATTCAGACCTTTTGTGTCTGGATTCACAAGGCCCTTAAACGGTCGAGAACAATCATATGGTATGCCAAATTCAATGATGGCTAAGAGCATCTTTAGTGCAGGTTCTATAGTATTAAATTCTTTAATAGTAACGGTAGTTATAAACAATTTGCATTGAAATAAGAATGACATGGCACTAAGTGAACTATGTATATTTTCATGAATGATTATTTATATAATAAACGAATTTAAAATTTTAAATATTATTTACAAATTTTATTAAACTAATTATCATTAAAATTTATATCTTTTAAATTAATAAATTTGTATGGACGAATTATTTATATAAATATATGTTTTATTTGGTAAAATAATAAAAAAATATGAAATTTCCACTAAAAATAAAAATTAAAAAGGAATTAAAATATTTTTTTAAAAATAGAGGAAGTAACTTAATAAAGAAAAAAATTATTAGTGACCAAAATTTTGGTCACTAAAGTTTCTTATAAATTACATTTTATACAAATGATTATTTGAGACTAAAAATAATGGTCACAATATTTGAGTCACTAATCCGGTGGCCTTAAAAATTTTATTCACATGATGTCTAATTTCGGTGGCTGATTCGATGGCTATGGTGACAGAAAATTTTCAGTCACTAAAGGAGAATTTTCTAGTAGTGCCTCGACAGATTTGAAGGGATGTGATAGTTGAAAATCAGGGGAAATCTTTGAAGAAGACTCTATAACTAACCTAGTCTAAAGAAACGTACCTTGTGTTGATATGGTTGATCAAGGAATTAGGTCAAACCACGTAGGGTCGAACAACCAGTTCCAAGGGAATAGGAACCAAGGTTGGTGATAGTTAATAGGAATCAAGATGTGAACGAAGTCGTACATCAAGTTCGAAATGGTGGTATGGCTAGGGATAATAATTTGGCTACCATGGTCGAAAGTATTATGGCATAAAATGGGGTAACTGTTGGCCTTCATATGAAAAATTATATTTCCCTATTGTCTAATTATATTTTGCAAACTCCATTGCCTAGGGGATTAAAAGTCCCAAAATTCACAAAGTTTTTAAGGGATACTAGTGAGTCAACTGTTGAACATGTGGCGAGATATCTGACTGAAGCAGGAGATCTTGTGTCGCTACCGCGAAAATAAGGTGCCGGTAAAACAGAAGAGTCGCCACCTTTCGTTATTTATCCCTCGGAACGAGAAAGGAAACGATCGGAAAAACCTGACGAAAAAGGGTAAGACAAGGTCATCGCAACCGTTGTCTGGGTTCGGGAGTCGGTTACGCAAGGGGAAGGTATTAGCACCCCTCACGTCCGTCGTACTCGACGGGATCCACGCTTGTTGTGTTTACTGGACGAGTTGGTTTATCTATCTACCTATCAAGGCTGGCTTAAACAGAAAAGAAGATGACTCGGCAAAGCGTCGCGCTTTATGCCTACGTATTCTCATCAAAGAATGAGAAATCAGAGTTAACATAGTTCGACCTACTACGGGTTACGGGGAAGGTAGCTCGCCAATACATCAGTATTGTGCCTACGTACTCTCAACAGATATGAGAGATCAGAGCTTACGTAGTTCGGGATACTACGCATTACGGGGATTCAGATTCATCTGTTTTATCGAGTAGGGTTAAACAACAGTTCCAGCAGTTAGGGACAAAGCCTGTTTGCGTTGGCGCTGAAGTTTAACGACACTCTTTTCTTCAGAAAAGCTTCCTTTGAGTTACGGGCCCGCGGGGCAAAAAGGTTTGAAGTTTGTTTTCTGTCTTTTACGGAAGAAGTATTTTTTATTGTGTTTGCAATTTCAATCGCACTAAAGACTATGACCTGAGAGTGAATGCGTCGCATGTCACCCAAAGGGTGCCATACTAAACATCCAGACTGTGGAAAAGAGACTCTCCCACAATCCTTTCTCAGATAGCTTAAGGCTCGTAACGTACGAAAGAAATCATTCATGATTACTGTATCTTAAGCTGTTTTGAGATGAGAAGAGAACAGGCTCAACTACGGGGAGACTATCAAGTCCTACTGTTGTCATGCCAAGGATTCATCCTATGGTTGAAGTTTGAAACAGGGAACTCCTAGAAATTATCATGCATAGGTTTCAACCTAAAGTTCTATCATCACTTCCTTATCAAAGGAAATGA